CTGATAGAGAATATTTTAAACAAAACCAGTAGGGATTCGCTGATAGAGAATATTTTAAACAAAACCTGGTCATGCGAAAATCCTGTAGGGATTGTAATTAGTGTACTCAATATTAATCAGAGACAAATAATAATAATAATAAAAATAGCAGCAAAACTTAAATTCTTATCGGGTGGCTACAAGTCGTAGTTTAGGAGATTGACTTCTTAAAATCCTTTTTTCTCCAGTCACCAAAGTCACCGTCTTCATCTTATGCTTTTTTTTGGCCCCAATTTCTAACTAAACTAAAATGCAATGACTAGTTTTATTTTATATATATATTGAAACGCGACAAAAACATATACAGTACTCATAAATAATCGATTTGTGTTGAGGTACTACTTATAACATCCAGCAGGAGGAAGCATTGTACAAGTGATCAGCAAAATGTTTCTATAAGAGATTTTTGTTAACTGGTATATATATATAGTATATGTAATCTTAGAGAACAGGTCCAGCTGCTGCATGTCATCCTTCTAAATCTTCTAAATTAGTACACTCTTCATTCTACCCATGCATTAAAATGCGTATTGAAATACTTCCTTCATGCATTATTCAACAGAGAAAAGCCTGTCTGTTATGCTGCGTCTTTGTTTTAAATGTATATTGAAGGCAAACTCAGAGGCAAGCTGACGCGCATGTAAAAAGTGAGCTTGCAATGTGCAGTAGTATAATGATGCACGGTTGTTTTCATCATCACTGTGCCTTGTTTTGTGTACAAATGGTGAAGATAAAAAACAAGTTCAAAGACGAGGAGGTTGTTGATGAAAATATGCAGTCAGTTTGAGCAAAATTAATAAAAAATAGAATAGTAAGAAACTAATTCCCTAACAGTTTAGTTATGTATGTTCTGGGTATTTTCAGTTCTTTCTTTCTTGTTTTGTCTGGTTGTCTTTTCTTGGTTTTTCTTGTTTTGTCTGGTTGTCTTTTCTTAGTTTTTTTTTCTTAATATAGTCAAGTATGAAAGTTCAGAAATGAAGTTAGATAACAAAAACAAAAACAAAAAAACAACCTTGCACTAACTGACATCCTCATATAGTATATCGAGAGTCGCTCTCAAAAGCTTTCGTGACGGTCCTTAACAATATTAAGCTGTCTACAATCCACTTGACAATTGTGTCAGTCAGTTTGTCAGCCAAAGACTTAATTACTGTCCGGCGCTCAGTGATGGTCTGACGCCAGCTGGACGTCTGACTTGAAGCTGAAGCCTCTACAAACAAATGTCTGGGCATTGATTTGGCACCGTGAGCTCAAGTCGCTTCACAAAACAAATAGTTTCGCAACCTCTTTTGTTTTTTTTGTCTCTTAACCTGCTTAAAATACTGTTACAAATACTAGGCAACATGAACTACAGTAGTACATTGCACCACTGTGTGTGTTAAGGTTTAACACACAAGCAATTAAGTGAAAAATATGTTGGATTTTTGTACAAAGGTTTAATCAATACCAAAAGCTGACAGTAGACATTTACACACGATGCTGTTGGTTTTTTTTTTTTTTTTTTCAGATCATAAAAAAAGGGAGACTTTACTGTACATTTACATTCAGATTCCTTCTACAATTATTCCGTACACAGTATTACTCATAGTTTTCGCCAAAAACTACCCATCATGCTGACGTATCAAAGGCATGAGCTGCTCTACGGGACAATAGACTATAACAAAAATCCATTTGGGATAAAATAGAAGGAGATCGGGCAGAAGATGCCCACCGGGCGGATACATAGTATATGTAACGTGTATATATAAAAAACTACACTTTGGCAGGCAGCTGAGTTTCTCTAGCAACAGTCTCTGAAGCAGTGGGACACTTGCATGGCTAATTAGCTACACACGTCAACTCTACAGATGGGGGAACTGTGGTCCTTGAAGACTCCACCAACACGGCAAGCCTCTTCTTTAGTCAGACACTCCCTTAACTTGGTGACGGACCTCGGGGCTGAGCCTCAGCTTTTCTCCTAGTCGTGTTGCTAAAGACAAAAGTTGTCATCGACGGTTGTCTCCTCGGGCGCAGACGGCAGCAGGTGATGAGTTTTAGGTACAGAGCATGACAGGTCGCTTTCAGGCCACGTAATCGTACTCCCAAGTTGATCTGTCAGTCCAGTGTGCTCAAGGCACCACGGTCCCCTGTGACAGGGAGCGGGTCATTTCTGTGTGGACAAAATAAGTCTTCAGCTCCCCTTTGCCCTTGACGTTGATCATGCCACGGCACGAGCACATGTATCCCAGGGTGGACAAGATCTGACTCGTCTCCTCTGTTACCTGCGCGAACGAGAAAATGTGTGAATTCCACAGATCAAAACAAACTCTCATTTTGCAACGAAAAAATATACAAACCTGTATTTTGCCGAGAACCCCAGTGGTCTCCATCCTACTGGCCACATTCACACTATTTCCCCAGATGTCATATTGAGGTTTCTGGGCCCCAATAACTCCTGCTATTACAGGGCCATGGTTTATTCCTAAAAAAAAACCATTATCAGTTCAGCACAGACGAGTGATCATTCCATAACAATTTAACTACCAATCTGAACCTTTCAGTCTTCTGGAGTACCTATGTCGCTCACCTATGCTAACACAGTGGTAAAATCATAATCTAGGACATGATGTATGGCGTACAACTGTCCATATAAACAAAGCCATCGTGCGTATAGTGTGACATGACAACGTATTCGCCCGCTCTGCTAGCCAACTATTCAAAATAATTAGATAGGACAAGACATTTAATTTAGGGAAGATGGCGACGCAACCACAAAACGTCGTAGGCCGAGGACGAATCGATTTTGAATCCATTCAAGATGCATCGTCGCATCCCCTAGTAACGCAACGATGTCTCACCAATCCTGAGTCGGAAGTCGTTGAAGGAGTGTTTGTTGATGACGTCCAGTTTCCCAACGAGAGCAAAGGCAAACTCCACCATCGTGCCAATGTGCATGTACTGTCGGTCATGTTCCTGGTGGTATAGAAATATGTTATATGAAGTCATGCGCCCCCTAGTGCATATATGTGTCACTGCAGTGACTGGGTTCTGATCAGGGTGGTGTACAGTAAGCATGGCAGAAAGGAAAGCGTGGACCAGGTTAAGGACGATTACCCATAATTCTGTTGTTGTTGTTACAGACCATATTATGTGCCGACATTTGTGAATGAAAAATTTCAAATAGGAGTGACATCAGTAATGCATTCAAACGAGTGTAGTGATGAATCACTTCTGCTTCACTGGTCTGTGCATTTTAAAGAGCAAACCCACACACAGCTTCCCAGTGTTTTTTGGTAGGCAACAAACACTTCATTATGTTTTTGTGACCATAAATGAAGAATAACAAGTTTGGCGAGCTTACGCTCAGCCTGCCAAGGCAGTGATAGCAGGCATATGTGGGATGGTCTGGTAGCGCTTGTTTAGTCTGCTGCTGCCTGGTGCTAATCATAATAAAAAATAAAACAGAGCATATTTTTGCAGTACTCTCCGGGCAATTTCAAGTACTGTACCGCAACAGTTTAAACTCGATTATATTTATTGGAGCTGTCAAAAGATATTAAAAGCTATTAAAATCTGATTATTCACAAGGTAGCTGTGGATTGTTCACAATTAATCATGATTAATTATGATTAAAAATTACGATTGATCGTGATTAATCATCATTTTAAAAATCATAATAAAAAAGAGATGGTATTATATGCTTTCTGAAATAAAATGTTTCCCAGCAATATGTTTAAATAACATGTGTATCGACTGTGCAGAGCAACAATAAGTGGATGGACGGTGGAATTATTGGATATATAGTATATATCATTCATGCCCATGTGTTAAACATTTGAATGTGAATAACCTTCACAAATTAATGGGAATAACATATAACAATAATTGTGTCAACCCTAGTATTTATACATTTTTAAAAGTACCTTTGTACTTTGTCAAGGTGAGGAAATGACCACTAGCCACTTAGCTGTTGGTTTACTGGTTTACCTGTAGGTGGCAGCTAATATGCTGTGATTTTTATGTCGTGATTAAGATGGATATTATAAAAAATGACAACAATATAGGACCATGTTCTCCTCACAGGACAAAAGCAAACATACCGTATGTACTTGGGCACTTAAATTGATTCAGGACCATTCCCCATGCATTCTCATTTTGATGTATTATTTATAGAGTATTACGTATGTCGAGTCACGTCACGTCACGTGTCATGTCATGCAGTAACGTGTGTTAAGGCCTGCCTGTGTGCACTCAGGTCCAGGTGTCACATTAAGTCCTGTTGCAGCCATGTAGGTGCTGCCGATGGTCTTGATCTTCTCCACGCCGCTGAACTTCGGCTTGGACAGCAGCTGAGGAGACGTGAAGAAACAGTTCTTTTCCCACAACAATTAAGCATTAAGACTAAATAGATTTTGACCTTGACGAACACTGAGAGCCGTTCACCTCGTCGAAGTCCGCTATGATCTCGTTGAGGAGACGCAGGCACTCCAGTCCTTCCTTGTTGACGTCGGACTCTGTGTAAAACTCTTTAAAGTCCGGAATGGAAGCGAACATCACACACACAGAGTCGTACGACTGATGGTAAAGTTCCTGCAAAGGAGAAAAATAAAAACAGGTTGGTACTAAAAACCTATCATAACTGAAATAAAAAACAAAACAAAACTTAAATCAACTTTATGGAGACATTTCATCCAGCTGTGAAACAGTGAAGACAAACATCGCAAAGAAAACAGAAGTCAGGAATGAGAAAATTAAGCAAGGTGAAAATTGGGAACAAATGGAATAGATGAAGAAGGGAGAATACACGGTGGGTAAATAAGCACCATCAATAATAACACGAATGCAGAGACGGCACAAAGCAGCGGCAGCTGCCACAGAGCATGACGAAATAAACGAAAAAACAATATACTGTTATATTTAATTTAGGAGAAAAACGAGAAAAGCAAACTTTAACGGCTGAGAAATCAGAGACAGAGTGACAAAGAAACAGCCGCACATGTGAAGTTAAACACTGGAACCGGAACTTTTTTGTTGAAGGGTTATCTGTCAAATATTACTAAATAAACACACATGACCCAATGATCGAATTCTGATTATTTTAATTATTTTGATAATGATTAATATCCAAAATACAACAATAATAGTAATGACGATGATGATGATAATTATTATTATTACATGGATGGATGGATGGATGGATGGATGGATGGATGGATGGATGGATGGATGGATGGATGGATGGATGGATGGATGGATGGATGGATGGATGGATGGATGGATGGATGGATGGATGGATGGATGGATGGATGGATGGATGGATGGATGGATGGATGGATGGATGGATGGATAGATAGATTTGATTTTTTAATAATTTCATAAGTGTAGTCCCTATTACATGATGGTGAAAAAAAGTTACTGATGTGACGATGCAAAAACACTAAATATCTCCCACTTATTCCAGATGCATTGTGTCAGTGCGACGACTTCAGATGTAGCTTGATCAGCTTTCATTTTCCCGACAGGGAAGACTGACTTACCTCATTTTTCCAGTTGCATCCCAGAAAGTGTTCGGCCACGTGAGCAGGTAAAACGTTCTCCAGCAGAACCCGGTTGAGATTCTCCATGGTTTCGATCTCCTCACACTCCCGTTTGAACTTGTCCCTCCACAAGAAGTCCAACCGACAGTAATATTCATTCTGTCACGGGACAAGACGGGAGACGTCAGTGTCAGTGTTTTCACACTCCAACACTCTTTTAAACATGGACTACACAATGTTTATAATACATTATTATATATTAATATATATATATGGTTTTTCAACATTGCTGCCCTTTTACTTTTTCTAACAACTTATCGAGATACTATTATCAGATGGACAAAGGTTCATTCTAAGTGGGGCAACAGCCAGCAGCGGGAATAAGAGGACCCCCCTCTTATTCCCCCGGGGTTCACCTGTCATTGTATTAACCCAAGAAGTGGGTTAATACAATATCAGGTGAACCCCTTGATTGACACATGACACCAAAACCCATCACAGCCTTGAAATGACAACCGCTGCGTATAGGCATCAATTCATGCCTTGGGAAATTCACACATGTCAGAAAGTGGGACGTCATCTGTGAGTATATATGGGTTGTGTTCAAGTAAACAGGCCCAGGCTTCACACTGAGTAGGTGAATTAAACAGTAGAAGACCATTGGATTTTATCACATATAGTTTTTGGGAACATGTTTGTTTTGGGGTTTTATCACATATAGTTTTTGTGAACATTTTTGTTTTGGGGTTGCGTCATGCAATTAAAAAAAAAAACCACGTGAACATGCTGCGTCCGACCAACAAGGAAGTCGGAGGTAAATGCACGTTGTTTAAAAAAAAAAGTTTGAATTTCTTCACTTTCTCGCGTAAGGAAACAGAAAGCAGCCAGGACTGTTTTGCATAATGCATAGCCGTTGCTAGTTTGTTGTGTTTCAGTTATTAATGCTCAAGGGTGTTTCAAAGATCCAAATATGTCAGCAACTCTCATCTATTGAGGTCAAAGCATCTCAGGAGAGAGAGCGTGTTGTGTGTGTGTGTTTGTATATGAGAGTAGATCTACTAACACACCATCATTACTCTCATATATCTCTGAGAGCTGCAGGCTGCCACACACTGTGCCCGTAAAATGGATGGTTTGTGACGTGCCAGGGGTTGGGGGGCTTATTTTCAGTCTCCCGTGACATATATGGCATGTATGTGGGGGAAACGTCAGATGTGATGCATGTGCGGTTGAATTTTTTTTTTTTTTTTTTTTTTCCACGTTCAAGAACTTGAATTATGAAAATAGACGCTGGGCTGGTTCAGAAACTGGGGCTGACTACAACTGGGCTGAGTCCCAATGTCTTTTTTAGAAAGCAGAGAACAAGCTTGTGAATGAGCTTCGCAATGGATTCACAACATCTTTTTTTCTCTTTATCTGTTTTCTACTCATCCTGACTGTGACTGGGCAAGGTCTCATTTAAGCTTATGATATAATGTACATAGAATATTTGTAAAAAAATGGGCAAAAATGTGTAAAAATTGGTGGCTACTTTCCTCTGACCGACCGTCGTCATGGGAACCACATGATTGACAGGCTTCTCAGCCACTTTATGTCAACACCTTCACTGGCAAAAAAGTGGGAAAACATAGGACTTCTATATATGATTTATTTTCCATTTTCATTTCTTTGTTTTTATTGGGCGATATTTTTGTCATTGATTAGTTAGAAGTCCACCAGGGAGGCTTTTGAAAGTTTTTTCTTTTCAGACATTAAAGGTTGTTTTCATTTCCTGTATTTGTCAGATTGAATTTGCGGTCATTCAAGGATAGTATGTGGAAGAGCTGACAGACATTTTAAAAATATTTCAGAAACGTTTTGGTGGCCCAAAAGAGGGAATAAATAACAAAAAGGAAGTTGTTATTTTAAACATCCCTATTGGAGAGACAATAACGATGCCGTTAGTTTTACGCCAACATCATCTGGACGCCCCATCCTACTGTAAATATAGGCTTTAAATGATTTGAAAACACACCGTGCTACGGATTCAACGGGGATGAACGTAGCAAACACCGTGCTACGGATTCAACGGGGATGTGCGTAGCTGAGTGTCCCGTCTGTTGACAGTGACCTAGATAAGAATAACACATGGAGCTGTACGGAGCAACTGTGGCTCTCAGGAGAGCGATCGGGTTGGTTCAGAGGCTCCAGGAAATCATGTCAAGTCACAGATGATGGATGGAGTACTATGATGTACCCCACATGGATTTCAGCTTCAGGTCTTGTATGTGAGTACGAATGGAAATGTGGAGGAAGTGAGTTTCCTCAAGGCCCGTTTTGGTCCTGCAAGTTAAAACTTTGAGAGATTCAACTCTTTCAGAGATTTTTTTTTTTTTTTTGTAAAAGCGACCCAGATAAACATTTAACTTTTAACAAATATGTGGGGTTAAGATGACCTCTGACCTGTCTGGCCAACACTAGCAGAGTGATAAAGAAGATGAAAAGAGACACGGAGCCCATTGTCTTTAGATCCTTCAGAACTCCAGGTCTGTTGAAAGAGAAAAATAATAATAATAATAAAAAATATTTGGCTGTTATTTTGCTCTGAACCATATGATATGAATGAAACCATGTGAAATTTTTGTCCAAAGGTCAAAAAATGTACATGTATGGTTAGGATTTTTACAACTTTTTTTTCTACTATTTTACTAATGACATCAAACAGATGCAGTTTTGTTATTTATTTTTAATTATTAAACCAAAGTAGTCTGGTTAAAATGTTGGGGGTGGAGGGGTGATCCTGGGCCACAAGTGGCCCCTGGGCCAGGGGTTTAGCACCACTGGTCTAAGAGTCAAATTTACCTCTGCAGCTCATGAGTGGGATAAGGTGCTTTACTGAATCCGTCCAGCAGGGAGGCGTGCGTCTGCAGGATGATGATGTTGTAGATCACCACGGCGACCAGCATCACCACCATCTTCAGCTCGTAGTTGATCCTCAGGAACACGGAGCACGACAGCAGGCCCAGAATGCAGCAGTAGATGAAATACTGTGGACACACGGAGAAGCGGCCGTCATTTTCGATAACTGGTCTTTTCCAACAAACGACGCTGCCGAACTTGTGCCGCACCGGTCAATCACTGCTCTGCCGTCTCGTCAAAATTAGTCGCTTATTTTTCCGCTCTGTTCTGTCCTGTTGCAATACCAGACACCAAGTCTGTGCGGTCTATTCTGGTCCAACCGTCCCTGTCCTGCGGCAGCATCACTACTGTCGTCAGTATCTTAATTCTACCTCTACTCTGACTGCTACCAATGAGCACTTTTCTTTTAAACTGACAAATTCCTTGTTTCAATTGTTGGTTCTAATTTAAGAAAATGATCTGAGGGTGAGGAGGACACAGAGCAGTGACACGGACAAATTGAGATAACGTGGTACAGTCGACGTATCAGGCGAGCAGCAGGTCATGACAGGAGCAGGAAGCACAGGTGTAGGTTATGCGTTAACTGCTATAATTAATTTGTGAAATTAATCCGATTAAGAATTGGAATTGAATTTAACGCACGGGCAGAGTGACGAGCACTGGACTGAGTATCCAATTATTCCTTTTCACCGCTCCAATACACGGTCGGTACACGCAGAAACACGTACTGTACATCTACCTGCGATTATTTGTCTGCTAGGATTAATCACAGCTCCCCTATCAATTGACAACATTAACACCCACATTTAACCCTGTGGTCAATTTAAAGTTTCCATAAAGTAAACAACCCACGCACAAAACAGAAAATTCACATAACCACCAGGGATGTAACGATACTGTTCTGCTGTAAGGCAAGAGACCATACCACTCTACCAACGTGTGGAGGAGTGGTTAGTATAGCAACTTCCTCCTAATTTTATAAACTACATTTGCAAGAACAAAATGATATTCGGTTCATCAAATGAGCATGAAACAAATGAATGAAATGGTTCGCCTAAACTAATGCAACGATTTTATTTAAATTATTAAATAAACAGTTCATAAACCGTTAATAAACAAGTGAATACTAATATAAATACAATAGAAAATATTAATAATTTTTTTATGAATCTGTTTACATCCAAAAAATATATTTTATTTTGTTCGTAAAAAAAAAAAGTATTATCTTCCAGAACTTTCCAAAGACTGAAGTATGTGTCAGTAGCATGCTTATATTTGTAACTTTAGGTCATACTTTTGTAGATTAATAGATATATATAGTTTAATAATATAGATGAATATCCATATTTTTGTAGATTAATAGATATATAGATAATAATATACATGAATATCTGTCATTTTAGAGATTTCTGAAAAAAAAAAACAAAAACAAAAAAAACCCTGTAGTGACAGCTTCTTTCCACATAAATTTAAATAAATTGTGAAACACAAACACACGTGGATATAAACAAGCATCTGCATCCACTCTAAACACCTGATGTGATGTTATGAATTTGTTAATCTAAATGTATCCAAAATCATATTTGTATTGTTTTTTTTTTTTGGGTAGTTGTTGAATTCTCTTTCTTTGTACTTACGGGCAGATAGAATTTGTTTACTTCCGTGTTTTTCTCCTGGTACTCCAACAGGCTGTCATTGCTTCGATTCATCTGTGCGGTCGTGACGGGAATCTCAAGTGCCGCAGATGTGAGGATGTCCTCCACAGCACCTCCTGGATCTTCCACAAAGAACTGACAAACGGAATGGGAAGTGCAGAACTTTTAGCACTTAGCTTTCATCAGTTTTCCACATTAGAAAGGGTGACAATGATCCACCGCATGGAGGAGTGAGGGAATTACATGGATCAGTGGATAAATGGAAGACTGTATAGATCAGCTGTCTCCAACCCCCGGTCTGTGGACCACTACCAGTCCATAGGTCATTTGGTATCGGGCCGCAGTGAAAAACAGACCGGTAGGAAGGTACCAGTCATTGGAACAAAAAAAATGCTGGTACAGATGTAACTACTCATGTAACACATGTTTCTGCAATTGATTATTATTTATTTAAGCTACAAATATTGTTCACTGCTGTGTAATAAAAAAAAAAATTCATAGGTTAAGAAACTCTGCTGCATGGACTTTACGAAATGCTTTTTAAGCTCCCGCGGGCCACAAAACTGCAGCTTGGTGGGCCTTACCATATTAAAGACGGCCATCACCAGGATGACAGCGGTGGTCATGACGGTGAGGATTAATCGCAGCCAGGGATTGTTGGTGACAATGACGCGCGAAGAGGTGGGAAACCACGCGAACGAGCAGGAGGCGTCCTTTTGTCTCTGCTGAAGAAAGAAAAGAAGACGAGGAGTTAGTGAGTGTTTCTGCAGCCTTTTTAACCACGTCAAACATCCTAACAGGGAGTATTGATAATACAATACTATACATACAATACAATACAATACAATACAATGCAATGCAATGCAATACAATGCAATGCAATGCAATGTAAAATGTAATGTAATGTAATGTAATGTAATATAATAATATAATATAATATAATGCAATGCAATGCAATGTATTGTATTGTAATCTAGTGTAATGTAATATAATACAATGTAATGTAATGTAATGTAATGTAATGTAATGTAATGTAATGTAATGTAATGTAATGTAATGTAATGTAATGTAATGTAATGTAATGTAATGTAATGTAATGTAATGTAATGTAATGTAATGTAATGTAATGTAATGTAATATAATATAATATAATAGAATAGAATAGAATAGAATAGAATAGAATAGTTGTTAAATGGCCAGTATTTGTCATGTGTTTTATTTGGGTTAAAAAAAAAAAAAGTGTTATCGCCAATCACTATGTTTCATGTCAGATTCCTCCTATTTAGGACAAAAAAATTCTAATCACACCTGGTGATAAGAAGCACAGGGGGTGTATTTTGAGGAGTGCACAGTTGTTAATAGTATCACTGAGGACGGACGTTAATCTCCAGGTTTAAGTGAGGCTTACGTCTTCTTATACCTCGCTCTTCTGTAAGAATCCTTCTGATGTGAGACTCTGGACCAGCGTTAATACAAACTTCCAGTTAATTAAAAGTGACCCAGTTACCAGGTGTGAATACTCTCTTGGCAAGAAATAAGAACAGCACATTATTATGGCAGAACTGAACGAATCAAAACAGACACAGTAATACCGAGCACGATGACATCATCGTATGGTGGTGTCTGGTCTCAGTTATAATAGCTATCAATTCATTTATATTGTTTTTTTTCTCTTTAATGGCACTGGCTATTTCTGAAATGAAGTGAAGCTAATTCGCCAACTTTGTTCCATTCAGTCACTGAATCTGGCTCTGTTTTGACCAGACCCTTTTTCAGTTTCCTCCATTGTTTTCCGGCCATTGTTTCCCGCCTTGACCCCCTGCTCTCCGAGGACTTTATTCCTTACAATAAAGCCCCGGCACTTTATCTTTCACTGGTGATTTACATTCACGCGCGGCTTTGTTTGTGCATCGATTCTTATCTTGTTTTCACTCAAACTGATTCTAATTTTAAAGCCGGTCAGTGACATCATCGTGAAACTGACACACACACACACACGCACACAGTTGACATTTTGCATGCAATCGCGGTCATGTTTGTGCGCGTGTTCAAGTGCAAACCCACCAGAAAGTGATCGGCAAAACAAAGGAGCAGGATCAATGCCAGGAGCAGGAAGGCCAGACCAAAGGAGACCTCTAGCACTGCGGTTCTGTAAAAACACACAATACAAAGTCATCTAACCCCTGCTGCTCTGCAGGGACATCCAATATTGGATAATATATGTTTTTTTTTTTCTACCTCATGTAGCAGTATTTCTAACCTAGAACACAGGACTCCTTTATTTAAAGCTTGAAAACCAGCCATAAAACCAATGGCGTCATAGCTAACTGTGCAGAAGATGCCAGGATCTATGGAGCAAGTATGGAAGCAAGTGAGAGAATCAATGTTCCCTCTGACGCTGAATTACACATTTGGCTCCCTGAAGCTGTAAAGCAGCCGCGGCTGAGGATTTTGTCGATTTGGCTCCCTGAAGCTGTAAAGCAGCTGAGGATTTTGTCCCCTCGTCGTTACAGCCGATCCATCATGACCGGCAGACCTCTTAATCTGCCGTTAAACGTCCCGACTCTTGCTCCTTGGACCCCTTTTTGACGAGACAGCTGGCGTCGAGTAGCCGCGGCTGAGTGACGTAACGCACTTACTTGGGCAAGACGAGGATCTGCACGATGAATATGCAGACGAATATGAGGCAGGCGCAGGTGACGTAGTACTTGAAGGCTGGTAATGTTGTTGCTCTGTACTGTTGAGAGAAGGGAAGGCCAAAAAGTGGATTAGAATCAAATGTGGATCCAGGAAGCAATGATTTAAAAAAAAAAAAGTATTGTTTTTTTTCTGTAAGTAAATTTAGGAAAATATCATTTTTATATCATGTTTGTTCAGCTATGAATATTTAAATTAGGGTTGCAAAATAATTAAATTGTTTGATGTTTGATTAATCAAAGGGTGTCATCAATAAAGATTGTAATTGGTTGTGATTAATCTTGATTAATCAAGAAAAATTATCATCCATTTATATGACAATATTGACAATGTTTATTTACCTTGTTAATCAGATTAATCACAGGGCAGCTGTGGATCAGTAACAATTAATCACAATTAATCGTAATTGCAATTAATCCTGATAAATCAAGATTAATCAGGGTAAATCAACATTCCTAAAAAAATGTTTTTCTCTGTATATTACTAGAACATACATTACTACATGAAAACAACATCCTGTTTTTGTATTCTTTTTTTCCCCCCATTGTCAACTGCATTAATTTAAAGAGCGATTTGTTTAAAAAAAATATGTGAATAATTTGTTAAAATAACATGTCACTGCCAATCAATGCTTATCTGTCTCATTAGTTGATGTTTTTTTTTGACAGAACTTCTTTTCTTCTTCAAAAAATAAATAATAAAAAGTCAGTAAAAATGTTGGCTCACTTTGCAGATGTGAGATTACAAGCAGTAATTTTATTAAAATAAAGATTTTTTCTTTGTTGGCTCACTTTGCAGATGTGAGATTAAAAGCAGTAATTCTATTAAAATAAAGATTTTTTTTGTTGTTGTTAATAAACGACATGATTCCATCTGTCAGTGAAGTTTTTGATCAAACAGTTGTCTCCAGATGTTTCCCCAGACATTTCAATTTGTGTTGATTTCTCAGTAGTTCTGCTGCTTGCTGGTTGCTGGTTGCTGGTTGCTATGCATTCTCCTACCTCTTTCTCCAGTGTCTTGTTGTGAAAGAATAATGAGATCCTCTGGATGTCCTCAGACTTCAGCCACTGTCTGGAGACACAGGTAAAACAGCCGCTGAGGCAACACACAGGGAACATGTGGCACATTTCTATATATACCACCGGGAAATGTAATAAGAAGCAAATGTAAGACTGTAATACATGGGTAATAAGGGAAGACGCGTCATAACATAATAACGTTGATACTTCACTTGTCTTTTGTCTCTTTTTGACTCATCGTTTTTCTATGTTTTTTATGCGTTCCTTTCAGATACACTGCTGGTAGTTCTCATATTTCATCTCTGACCACTCAACATGACTTGGCGGGCCACATTCGGCCCCCCGGGCCATGGGTTTGATGCATGCTGTAGCCGGTGTGGCTACAGTGTGCAGCAGATGTCCACACTTACTTCTGCGAGTTGATGCCGTCGATGGTGCGAATCATTCGCTCATTCAGCTCTTCCTCGAACCTCCTCCTCTGAGACTTGGACCTGCAGTCAAACGGACAGCGGTTCGATCGTGCACCGGGTACGAGATAAATGACTCTGGCGAGTCGCGCCTCACCTTTCCCGTCGCTGGAACTGATACTGTCCCAGTGGAACGTCCTGGGGAAAACAGCAACGTCTGTTCACATCTGAGTCTGTGCATGTGGCGTTACGAGCGGGAAACGCGCTGTACTCACCGTGGTGTTGATTTTGCCGTTGTCCGTGGTCATGCTGTTTCGATGGTGGAGGTTGGCGAAGGGCTTGGCCGCTCCCCACGACTCCAGGTAACGGGTCATTCGAACCGACGCCCTCATTTTCCCACCGTCCAGAGAGGGTCGAGAGCGCACAGCCAGCAGCGGGCTTTGTCTGTCAGTCTGGGGTGATGTAGCAAAACGAAACAAATAGCATGAGACACCACACGTCCTGAGGCAGTGGTGGTTAAGGAAGCGGTACTTGTGTCCAGAAGGTCACAGGTTCGAATCCACCACCCCTACATACTGCTCAGCTCGAGCTGCCCTCTGCTCACTATGAGTGATGGGTTGAAGCACATGTGTCAAACTTAAGGCCCGGGGGCCCAAATGCGGCCCGCCAAGTCATTTTCTATGGCCCGCGGGAGGTTAAAAAGTATTTAATAAAGTCGATTGACCTGATAATATTAATCAATACCAGAACCATGTATTAATACGTTATGGAGTAGTTACATCCACACAATCTTACAGTTACAACCGACCTTTCGAGGGGCACTGTACTGCTGATGTTGCCCCCTGGTGGCAGAGGTCACAATAAATCACTTTCACTTTCAACATGCGATGATGGAGCTTTCCATTCATTTTGAATCTACACTAAACATTTCAGCTATACACACTACATTGCGTAGAATGCTATCATAATAATAATAAAGTTTAAAGTGTTGTAAAACAAATGGATAAAGTAACTTAGCCTTAGACACAAATGCTTACAAGAACAGAGGTAGACACTCTGGTGTCTAACGGCTGCATTTATGGCCTCTGACAGTGACAATCAGTGACAGACACAGTGGCGGAGATGCCTCCTGTGATTCATGCTTTGTATCTGGCCCTGATCCATTTAAGGGCTTCTTGGAACTGTCGCCGACCACCTGGTACAACACTTCGAAACAACCCCAGAGAGGCTGGGGCTCAACCTGGAGCCGCTGGCTAAGGTAACACTGTAGGAAATAAATAATGGCTTTTCCTTAAAAGCCATTATTTATAATATATATATATATATATATATAACATATAATATATGTTATATATATTATATATTAATATATAATAAGTTACAGCAAGTTACATATCTAGGTTTTTACTCTAAATGCACCAAATTTTGTAATTTAAAAATAAAAAGACTTGTGAATATATATAACGCAGGAAATACAATAAAATGACTGATTTAGAGTTACATATATATTACGTATATATTATATATATTTATATTTACAATAAATATATTTTTATATATGTATATATATGTATATATATATGTA